CCCTCTAAGCCTTCGAAGAGAAGGCACGACTCCTGCATAGCTGTTAAACGGATCAGGTATTCGGATCTCTTTCCATTTCTATCTCGCTCCGAATATTCCTTTTTTTGTTTAAATAACTCACATTACCGAATATCCATGAATTAAAAAGATTTCTGTGCTAATTCTTTGCTTTTTACTATATCTCTTTAACCTCAAAACCGGGTAACAATTGAATTTGTAAGTGATTTTAAGGATACGTGGACTAACTTGACACAAAACGATAAATTAAATTGCAATTGAAATAAATAATGATAAAGTAAATGCGAACCACGCGAATTGAACGATCTTAGCCTGGGGAAGTTAATCACCCTCAAATCAGGTACGCTCCGATCGGTGTCGGGATACAGAAGAACAAGAGCTTTTAAAATAATAATGATACATAACTTTGGAATGCGTGTTGCAATGTGTTCAATGAATTATCAATCCTCTATTTATACCTACTTTAAGTACAATTCTATAAAAGATAAAAAAAATCCCTTGATTTGATTATTGCCGGTGCCTTATTGATACGTGCCGAGATTTCTGTCGTAATATCCGACCGGCCACGGATATTTCGGTCTTCTGTTGGTTATGCTAACAGCATTTCTTCGAGCTCGATCGGGGCTAAGGTCGACTCCGGGATTACGGACTCAATGTTCTCGAAGGCAGGCGCTATGACCCCGGGTTCTAGCTCGATGGGATTCGGGGTAGATCTTCAGTCTTTGGTTGTCATGTTCCTAACATGTCATGTTGTAGGTGAGCTCGATTTCGACCGTACAGAGATAGTCCCCTCGTTTTTTCGGAGCGTAGATGACGAGAAACGACATGAGCTTCCGATTCTTTCTTCGATATCACACGACAGAAATGACAAAACTGTCAAAACGTCTCGTCAGTCAAGTCTTAATGACATTAAACGCTTGTCAGTTACTGGTTGGCCACTCCTAGATGCGAATCGTCGCTGGAAAACTGTAAATACCCCCTCATTTGTTCATTCAAACTTTACATTCAATTCTTCTGCCCTCTATAACGACTCGGCCAGTCGTTCCGAGAGTTATAGCCCCGTTCCTCATTTCTGCTTCTTTTTTAGTCCTTCAGCTATATTGTGTTATACCGGATTAGTTGGTTCGAGGCCGAGTAATTTCGGAGTGAATTGAGACACTTAGTTTCTAAAGTAGAAGCTTAAGTTGGAAAAGTCAACCAGATATTGACTTATGTGTATACGACCTCGGATTTGAATTTTGATGGTTCTTTTAGCTACGTTAGGTAATTTTAGACTTGGGAGCGCGTTCGGAATGAGATTTGGAGGCCCGTGGTAGAATTAGGCTTGAATTAGCGAAAGTTAGAAATTTGACAATTTCGGTCGGCAGTGGAAATTTGATATCGGGGTCGGAATGGATTTTCGGAAGTTGGAGTAGGTTCGTGGTGTCATTTGTGACGTGTGTGTAAAATTTGAGGTCATTCGGACGTGGTTTGGTTGGTTTCGGCATCGGTTGTCGAATTTGGAAGTTTAGAAGTTCTTAGGCTTGAATCCGAGGGTAATTTGATGTTTTGATGTTGTTTAGAGTGATTCGAAGGCTCGATTAAGTTCGTATGTTGATATATGATTTTTCGGTATGTTTGGCTGAGGTCCCGAGGGGCTCGGGGTGATTTCGGATGCTCAGCGGAGGGAAGTTTTGGACTTAGACTTGGCAGATTTTTCTGGTGTTCTGGTGTTTTCGCACCTGCGGTGGGAGGACCGCAGGTGCGGCCCCGCAGAAGCGCTTAGGAAGTCACAGATGCGGGCAAGGGTGGGTTGGATTGGAATTGCAGGTGCGAGAAGGGGGACGCATCTGCGAGCCCGCATATGCGAGGCTGAGACACAGATGTAGAAAAGAGGAGTTTGGTTGTTTCCGCAGAAGCGGAGGGAAATGCGCAGGTGCGCGTTCGCAGGTGCGCGTCCAGTGCGTTAAGTGAGTTTCCGCAGAAGCGGCTCCGTAGGTGCGGATATTGGACCGCAGGTGCAGTTTTGCTGGGCAGAAGGTATAAAAAGACGACTTCGAGATTTTTCCTCATTTTCACAATTTGAAATACGGACTTTGGAGCTTTTGGACTAATTTTTGGAAGGAAATTCAAGGGTTATTACTGAGGTAAGTTCCTTGAGCCTAATTATCCTTAGATATGGTATTTTCCCGTTGATTTCTCAAATTAGTAGGATTTTTGAAGTGAAAATTGAGGGTTAGGGCTTGGGATTTTGGAGAGTGTAATTTGAGGGTTTGAGGGACCAAATGATGTCGGATTTTGATGAATTTTGTATGGTTAGACTCGTGAGTGAATGGGCTTTCGGGTTTTGTGACTTTTATCGTATTTCAAGACGTGGGCCAGGGGGTCAGATTTGAGTCGATTTCGGGTTTTGAGTCTAATTTAGTAGTTTTCTTGTGAAATTGATTCCTTTAGCATATATTAATGGTATTGTACTGTTTATGGCTAGATTCGGGACGCTTGGAGGCCGATTCGAGAGGCAAGGGCATTGTGGAGTAGAGATTTGCTCGGATTGAGGTAAGTAACGGCTGTAAATCTACTCTTGAGGGTATAAAACCCCGGATTTTTGTGTCATGTGATTATTTTGGGAGGTGACGCATATGCTAGGTGACGGGCGTATGGGCGTGCACCGAGGGGATTGTGACTTGGTCCGTCCCGTGAAAACTGTAAAGTTGAATAACTTGTTGATAACTATGTGCTCTCTATGTGTTATGGAAATTTGACTATAAGTCATGTTAGAAACCATGTTTAGGCTATATGTTGCTACTGTTGAGACCCACAGAGGTCGTGTACATGTTGAACTATCTGCTTAAATGTTGTTTTGTACTCGGTCACAATTTACTTGATTATTTTATCCCAGTCTCTATTGTTCATTATTGATGCATCATATCATTGTTGTTTGGTCTGATTTCATTATTATTGAGAGCCCGGGAGACTGAAGAGATTTATGACTGAGCAAGGCCGAGGGTCTAATTGTGAGATATTATTATAGCATGTGAGTTGTCCGTGCAGCACGTGAGTTGTCCGTGCGGATCCAGATATTATACTATAGCACGTGAGTTATCCGTGCGGATCCAAATATTTATACTATAGCACGTGAGTTGTCCGTGCTTATAGCGCTTGGGCTGTAGGAGCCCCTCCGGAGACCCCCAGTGACCGCGGGTACCCATTGAGTGTGAGTACTGAGGGTTGAGAGCTGAGTGGTTGAGCTGTTGTGACGAGTTAAGTGACTATTGCCCTGAGAGGTTGTACTTGCTTTTCATTTGTGGTTGCACTTAGTTGCTATCTATTATTATTGTAAAAAATTTCTGAAGGAGTTTATTTTCGGATTACATGAACTTGAATTGTATAAAATTGATTTGACTTAAACTGCTGGATTGGAAAGCATGTCTATTCTTTGCTAGAATTACTGAAAATGAACTATAACTGTGTAGCTCGTCACTATTTTTAGTTCTTTATTTATTTTTGTTACTTACTGAGTTGGTGTACTCACGTTACTCCCTGCGTAGGTTTGAGTTTAGGGTCATGACAAGTTGGTATCAGAGCTCTAGGTTACATAGGTCTCACGAGTCATGAGCAAGTTTAGTAGAGTCTTGTGAATCGGTACGGAGACGTCTGTACTTATCTTCGAGAGGCTGCCGAATCCTTAGGAAAATTTCACTTTCTTGTATTCTATCGTGCGGAATTGATTCATCTTAAAGCACAACTCTTTGAATTCCTTCCATGCATTTCGTATGCGCATACGAGCGCTCGGTATAAGTTGTGCATCGCCGGCTTGTGATTCTATGAACGAGGTTCAAGTCTGTGTTTTGTTGATGGGCCAGTCTGGAGGACTTGAGGCCGGGGTTAGACCGCAGCTTAGGCTCGGTAGTGAGATCTTGTACATATGGACCCTTATATCCGGTAATATCCCTACGAATAGGATTTGTGGCTCGATGAGCGATTGATTGGCTATATGGTAAGTATGATGTGACTGCGGGATGTATTCAGATGGGTTGAATGTGACGAATAAAGTTTGCTTATAATTCAATAGTTTGCTATTGGGTACTCAATTTCTGTCTTGATTTGACGTATAGTCTCGAGTTGTGAGTATATTGAAGGATCTTTCACGTTGTTAAATTGTGGGGCAAATTAAATTCTCATGTCTTGTCAATGAGTTTGGACTCAAGAAGAGTAAGTGATTGTGTTTGCGGATGGGCATTTCTAATGTTGATGGCTCGAGAAAGATGATCTTCGAAGAGGCTTAGAGTCGGTAACATTTTATTTGTTGAGGTGCAACATAGATGCATTTCGATTTGATGAAACAGTTTGGGCAGCAAAGTATGAGGGAAGACACGACGAGGAACCAGTACCAGAATCTCCTCTAAAAATGTTCATCCCGGGGGGATGCCCGATCAATGCTGACTTTAAAGTCTAAAAGCTCTCCTCCGTACCAGGCCGGTGTGAGGAGGTCTCGAGGTACATCTGCTCGATCACCAAGGATATTCTCTCTGAAGTCAAGAAGGATTGTAACTGGGCTGACAAACATGTGGTGGTTCCCGAACCTGACAAATCCATCACCACCCACGTCGAGGGATTTTTAAGTGTTTACACTTATCCCTTCACGTTTGGCCCCTTGGACCCGGTTATTGTTGACTTTTGGAAAAGATACGAGGTAACCCTCGGTCAAAATCACCCTTCTTTTTGGAGGATCGTAATCCTCCTCTGCTTCTTTATAAGAAATATCGAAGGGTTCCCTTTCGTGATCGACCACCTTATGCGCTTATACAGTCCCAGACTCTACCGAGGGGGACTGATCAAGCTAGCCCTTTGGGCCAGTAAAGTCACGTTCTCGAGTATCGATAAAGATAGGGATCGAAGTTGGCTAGGCCGTTTCATCTGAGTGAGGACCTCAGACTTGATCCCGGCCGAGTACAT